CACCTGAATCGCTTTTTTTTGTAGTTAGGTGGTCTTTTTAACATTCATTTCAATGTATTCGGCAGATATATCATACTGAATTAACAAATTAAGTGAAACATTTCTAGCGTTCAGCCTTTCTTTTGGCCTTTTGAAGCTAAACAAAACTTAAAAAAAAACTATAAATGAATTTAGTGTAAGCAGAATGGTGAGTGTAAAGATACTATCCAATTACAATTGTGTTATGTCGAAAAGTTTTAAAATACTTGAATTTCTGTTTTAAGTGTTGTTTTAACGGGAACTTTATACAGATCTTTTTGTAGTGTAAAGAAGCCAGCATTGCATATGCACAAAAACGAATGAAAATTATTAATTTCCATACCACTGCACACAAATAAATGAATAAATCTTATATAACTTATTGCACATTTTATTAGAACATCTTTCTTCAATTTTGACAACAAATGGAGAGTATCTAACAATGGTAAAAAAGAAGGCATTATCACAATTTCATTAACAAAGGGACATAGCTAACACAATCAAACAATACACAGCCTTTCATCATCTTATACACAATAATCATATATAAATTATATATATCTCATCTCTGTCACTGTTCAAACACCATAATGTCATGGTGAAACAGTAACATCTCAAGATAAATCCTTAAAAACAAATTAAAAATGTCCTCAAAATCTTTGATACATATTCAAATTTTCAATGTAACAGTTTTTTGAGCAGAAAATATGATACCATGATAACCTACTTAAAAATATTGAAAGATATCAAAAATTAATTTCTAAAACAAAATACTATTAAATAACAAGATGCACTTGAAATGTCATGTAATTATACATTCAAGAGGAACAAGCCTGGCCAGAAACTTGTTTTCATCATTCTGGTACATCTTGCAGTATACATGTACTTTAACTTAGTAATAAATTCTGAATGGTCTATGTATGTATAATATGTAGTATATTGTGTTCTATCACAGAATTCTCTGAAAAATTGTGCCTGGTCATTTCAAAATTCATTCGTGAATAAACTGAATTGATGATTGGATGTACTTTTTAATGAATCTAAAAAAACTATATTTTCTTTTCCAATCGACCATTAATGAATTATTTAATATAGACGAGTTACCATTAAGGGCGATTCATACATAATAAGAGAAGCGAATTAATATGAATTCATCTATAAATCAAAAATTAAAATGAATATTGTTTATTTTGTTATTATGTTGTATATTATATATTGTTATTTAACCAAAATTGTAAGTTATGTCCAGATGTCCAGTAATATCTACACTAGTATTCGTTAAAACAACACATCTTTTACACATAAGAAATAGGAAATAGTAAAACGTACATTAACCTATTACATGTATTTGATAGGTTTGGCTGGAATCCAGCCAGTGTATTTCAGTCCAATAGGGTTTTCTTGTTAATTCACCAATGATGAAACTAAAAAAGATTAACAAGTAAATCTATGAAGGAAAACTTAAACAAGAAACTATTAAGTAAACTAATTACTTATAGTGAATACATATCTTATGAAATAAACATGTAACTTTCCATCGCATTCAAATGTAAACAAACAGTTGTACGTTTGCAGTTGAAGCATTGTTTTGAACATATACATTTTAACACAGTAACCATCGTTCTTCTACCTTCAAATAACATATTACATTTTAAACAACACCAGACAAATTTGGATAACAAAACTAAAGCATAAACAATGTATTAAAAAGGTCTTAATGAAACACATGTTCCCACCTTTTCGACATGAAGTTCGTATTTCTTACCGTTTAGATCGTTTGGGCCTATCTTTGTTGAAAACAACATAACGTGGTTATTTAGTATACAATTTGTATGGCTAGTGTTACCAACGTGATTAAAATTAAACAAACAAGAAGATACATTAATTTTACAGTAAGTCCATAATAAAGTTTACACATATCAGCATAATTAATATCAATTGGAATTCATTTATTAATTGCTAATTTTCACACCTGTTCTTTATTTGATTATAATTGTACATACCAAATAAAAAATGATTATGATTGTCAACAATCAAAATAATTGTTAAAGAATTGTCAAATAAGAAAGTTAAACAGTACATTTTATAATTTGGTTTGATAGTTGTTTTTATACCTCAACTAGAATACACAAATTATTGTAGTGTTGTTGCTCTTTTGTCAGTATTCAACTTACTTCTATTAGAAATGTAACATCAACATTTTATTCAAGATTATTAACCTCAAGTCAGATAGATAAAGAAGAACATTCAACAAGACATAAAAATACAAAATCCTGACATCACCATATACATGTACAGTATGTTTAAGAGTTTTACAACGTTTTCATTTATCATTTTAAGTTTGTGTATTACACTTGCCTTGCTTAAAAAGTTACATATTCCTTAGCCTTAATCCTAACAAGAGCCACCACCGGGCGGGGGCAACGCTCGACTTTTTACTTTTTCTAAACGCAAACATAGAAAGGTTTGAACATATATTGATGTTTCCTTTTTATAAATTTAGTTGGTCTGTCTTGTCACATTAGTTTTGTTTATATATTTTGTATATATATGAATAGAAACATTAAGCATATTTCTAAAATTAGCAAAAGTACGCAATTTCTAAAAATAGCAACAATGACGCAATTTCTAAAAATAGAAACAATGACGCAATTACTAAAAATAGCAACAATGACGCAACTTCTAAAAATAGAAAAAATGACGCAATTTCTAAAAATAGGAAAAAATGACGCAATTTCTAAAAATAGCAACAATGACGCAATTTTTAAAAATAGAAAAAAATGACGCACTTTCTAAAAATAGAACAAAAATAACGCAATTTCTAAAAATAGCAACAATGACGCAATTTCTAAAAATAGAAAAAAATGACGCAATTTCTAAAAATAGAAAAAAATGACGCAATTTCTAAAAATAGAAAAACATGACGCAATTTCTAAAAATAGAAAAAAATGACGCAATTTCTAAAAATAGAACAAAAATGACGCAATTTCTAAAAATAGAAAAACATGACGCAATTAAAATAGAAAAACATGACGCAATTTCTAAAAATAGAAAAACATGACGCAATTTCTAAAAATAGAAAAAATGACGTAATTTCTAAAAATAGAAAAAAATGACGCAATTACAAAAAAATAGAAAAAAATGACGCAATTACTAAAAATAGCAACAATGACGCAATTTCTAAAAATAGAAAAAAATGACGCAATTTCTAAAAATTGAACAAAAATGACACAATTTCTAAAAATAGAAAAAAATGACGCAATTACTAAAAATAGCAACAATATATTTGATATATATATATATATATATATATATATATATATACCTGCATATATGTATATACACACACACATTTATAAATATATATTTATATAAAATACATATACTATACATACACACACACCGATAAATGCATATATATATATATATATATATATATATATATATATATATATATATATATACATGCATATATATATATATATTTATATGTATATATATACACACACACATTTATATATATATATTTATATATAATACATATACTATACATACACACACACCGATAAATGCACAATCTGAGAAAATTCAGTAATATAACCTTCAAGGTCAAGGTCATTAAAGAGCCCAAGCAAATTTGGGTTTGATAAACAACAAGGTCTGGTCCTTAAGAAGGTACTGTTATAATATGAAGTTTATCCCTTCAAAAATAGCAAAGTTACAGTCAGTTACTGCCAAAACAATGAAAATTTCAATAATTTGACCTTCAAAGGCAATGTCATTAATGAGTGAAAGTCAAAGTCTTTCGGTATATATTTAACAGTTATCTTTGAAGATTATTATGGTCAAGTTTGAAGACAATCCATTCAAAAATAACAAAGTTACAGCCAATAATAGCCAAAAAATGAAAATTTCAATAATTTGACCTTCAAAGTCAAGGTCATTGATGAGTGAATGTCAAGGTCTGACTGGTTATTTTTAAGGGATATCCTTGAAGATTATTATGTTCAAGTTTGAAGACAATCCATTCAAAAATAACAAAGTAACAGCCAATAACAGCATGAACAAGCAAAAATTGGACTTTTAACCTTGAAGGTCAAGGTCATTTATGGATGAAGGTCAAGGTTAGTGTGGTCTACTGAAAGGTCTTGTCCCAAGGGTTGTTGTGGCCAAGTATGAAGACAATACACCAAGAAATAAAAAAGTTATGATCCAGGTACAAGTTTTCGGACGGCAACGGCAACGGCAACGGAGACGGCAACGGCATCGGCAACGCCGACCTGACTATAACAATACCTCTACTTTTTTTTTCAAAAAAAAAAGTCGAGCTAATAAAAGAGAGTTCAATATAAAACTTCTTAATTTATTCTAACAGTCTGACTCAACTCCTGGCATTTGTATTTGTCGCCCAAAGTTATTTGAACGCAGACCAATACACCTTTCCGATATATTTGTTACAATCTTTTAATCCAAACTTTGAAAAGGTTTACAATACATTAATTTATAAATACTATGTCAAAAAGCATTACATGTATTCTCTATTGACATACAGTACAGATTCAACGCTTTTACAATTTTTGTATTAAAACTGAAATAAAATTCATAATGTATTTAACAAAGTAACAAGAGGTGCTACTAAAGCTAGTGAATGCACGAATTATCTAGTTCAATAGGCCATATCTCAGAATTTAACAATAAAAAGAGTAAATGTACTCAAGAATGTCTATTAATATTTTTAGTATTTTACTGAAACTTATCGACCAACAGTCAAACGTTTGTAATCATTGTATTATTAGGTAATATTTCTTTTAACTATGTACATAAAAGTAAAGCATGAAAAGGTGAAAGTCTTGTCATCTCTTAATGGGGGTAGGCAGCACACGGAATGATTCGGGGTAAACATTCACTCTACATTCTCGCATTATAAATGGTTATGCAACAAGTTGACAGCTACACCGCCTGTCATTTACCAGAGAAAAGCTGCATCTGCAAGTAGAAGGAAATCAAATCTTATAGATTACAACTAATCATATATACTCCGACCATCAAGTCTTGTAAACATATGTTTCGGGGACAAACATGTTATATTTGTCTGTCAAGCCATATATGACAAAGAGAATCATTAAAAAGAGTTATCAGCCAACAAAATCTAAGTGAAATTAATGAGCCTACGAAATGTACCGAAGGCCCCCCGCAAGGCAATAACTACGTATTAATTGCAATACTAAACTTCTACTAGATTGATTTCCCTTTGACTATAAAAGAGCATGCACATAACAAGTATGTGTTGTACAAGAGATTATGTTTACAGCAAAACGGAATAAGAAGTCCCTTTCTCTCATAATATTTTGACGTCAATTATTTCTATTTATTTTAATAAAGTAAGCGATCCGAAAAGCATATGCAGTATTTCGGCTACAGGGAAAACATATATTCAATGTTTTTATTCAATATTGACATTTTCACCACCGTTGAAAAAGTATTGTTATCTATCACAAGATAGTTTACAGATTGTACAAAGTTTGTATTTTTGTATCAGAAGTCTTACCATACTTTCTCCTAATGCCTGAAAACTTGCTCTTCTTTGAGGTGCAGGCCCATCTGAGAGTCCTAGAGATCCAAACACACTCCCTCTGCTTCCCCTCCGACTCTCTGAGTCCTAATTTGTCAAAAATGTAAAGAAAATCACATGCATTTAATGAACGTTTTGATGGTCACAGTACAGATGCCGTAATGTATATTGGTATAACGACTACAAACAACGTTTTTGTTTCATACTAAATGGACAAATCAAATATTGGAAGGGTTAGTGTTAGTTATTGGATGATTTGGTCATAAGAAAAGGGTTCTAAAAATGTTAAACAACTATATAAAAGGAAAGGTACACGTGTACTTATCAACTACCATTATAGTTTTGAAGAGGTTCTAAATATATATACATACATGTATAAGGAATTGGAAGAAATACAATTTCAGTAAATAAGTACATGTAGCAAAGGCCATTGAGGTACAGCAGAAATAGAATTTTAAGTTTTTCAAACGTGATTGAAAATGACAGCCAGTACAAAAATGTGTGTTCTGTTAAATACAATATTGTGAAGCTAGAACATAAAAATGTTGAATCAAACCAAATCTTCAATCTTTTCTTTTCAGTGCACTCCCTACATCAAAATCACTGTTAGTTTACATGAACATACATTATAATAAAATGAACTATATTTAAAGATAATTATGATAATGATTTTGAACAGTTTGAAAACAGTTTCTAGCATTTATAAAGACAGGCAACCAACGGGTTTTAAATGTGTTCTTTTGTTTGAAAAAAAATCCAACGCAATAAAAAACAAAAACGTTTCCCGATAATGTATGACAATCTAGAGAATAAGCTGAATGACAAAGTGCCCGCATTTCAATTACAAGTTAATAACCTGTTCCAAGAAAGATAAAGGTTAACTTACAGGGAAGTAAACAAACCCTCGTATGCTTATAGGAAATAAGCCGTTTATATACAGACCATTAACGTGAAAATAAATAAATCCATGACAACAATAAAGACTAAGCAATGGTGTTAAACTTAATGATGGAACTCGTAGATTAAAGATGTAAAATAGTCTCTTCGCCAAGGACTATACACCTGACACGTTTATAAGAGACATTCCATTAAAAGCATTAAAATAGACGATAAAATGAAGACTTAAGTAAGTGTTGGCAAACTTCAATGAATATGTTCGCTATACCCTAAAGAATTTAAAGGCCTGTTGCACTTTGTGGATTTAGTTTATTGCATAACAGAATGCATATTTTGTCATGTGGATATTTTGAAAATATACATCTTCTTAATATTTACTGCAGATTAAAATAGTTTTGTTCACTCTTCAATACATATTAATGCATACTTCTTAATCTAAACACAATTTATTATTCACTCTTAACTGTGGTCCAACATGTTTGTAATGGTCCCTAGCAGCTTGTAAATATTGATAAATATCTAGTTAGAAAGATGGAATAATGCTCCCTACAGCAGGGTACCGATCCTTTAAAGAGTGAAGGAATCTGACAGAGTGAGAAGTCTAGTATCATCATTTTTTTAACCATTTAATAAATGCATAGATTGGTTTCTTTGCTCCTGTACTTTGCGTGTGCAATACTTACAGGTAAACATAGAAAATTAGCATTGAATGCTTGAATTAATAATTGCAGGTTACAATAATGATAAAAACTGTTTTATAATAAATGATAAGATAAACTTCATGTTATTTAAAGATATATCAAAATGTATAATATTATACATAAGGTTATCTTGTGCTAGAGGCATACCAGTATCATCATCAATGAACAAGGTCATTCATAACAAGTCTGCAACACATTCCTTTTCTCGATGCTATATAATAGTTACAGCTTCTTATTTTAGTTTTTATACCCTTTATTTACTTTTATTTGAATTAGAAATACGTTATGTTTATGTTCTTAGTTTAGAGATAGGTCAGAAATAAACATTCAAGAACCTAATGCACGATAGACAAATACAAAATCATTTCTTATTTCGGAGTATCAAACTTGCAGATTTTATAGCGAAGCAGGAAGGCTCTAAAAGCCCTCAATTAGAGAAACAAATAAGCAGGGCTTGGAAATAAGCTTTACAAAGACCAATTGCAAAAGCAATTTTCAAACTTAGAAAATAGCTTCGGCGGCTTACTAGTATATTGCTATATATAGAGATACTAAAATATAAAGTTGGACAGTTCTTAGAGAGACAAATTAAAGTGTATTTCTAAATGATCAGAAATAAGTAATGAGAAATTGCACAGAGACAAATTTCTTAATGACTAAAGAGAAAGGACAAATAATTGAAATTAAATAGCACTTTCACGAGAAACATTTCAAAAGGTTATAAAAAAGAGTTATATATACTATGAAGAAGACATACTAGAATACGTAAATAAGGGTTAGAATACTGTTGTTTTAACTATTTTGTAACAATAAAATAAAAAACATGTCATCCTGAAAAATCAAAAAGATCATTTAAAATGTGTTAAATTAGCAGAAGGCAAGCATTAAATGAAACCTCTGTTTGTAGGAAAAACAGGACCTACAAGGCTGTTTTTAAAAAGGAGCATTTCTATAAGCTAGGAAAACTTCAGAAATAGCCATCCAAATCGTCTACATAAATACTATTCAAAACCTTATTTCACGTGTCCAAATCTTCATTTTTCGTACCGTCCATAAACTGTGAAATTGTATATAAAGCTAGTTTGCTTGCTTGTATATCTGGTATGTTACTACACTGATTCATATCTCGACAGTCAGTCCTTCTAAACTGACTACTTACCCGTCATTACAAGTATTTCTGGAAGAGACCGTCTATAAATTCAACTTGATTTCTGAATCACCAGTCAGAGACAAATGACCATTAGACTTAATGTCCGGAATTGTCACGGAAATATTTTGCTTCGCCCGAGGGTAGAACCAACGACCCTGCATTACATAATTTAAACTCACTAACGAAAACTTGGTAAAATGCAGAATTTACGAGGAGTTATATAAAACAAACAAAATTTTCGAAAAGAGATGATCCCTCTGAAGCAAAGAAAACCGCAAAATAACATGAACATTGCAGACTCGGTTTGATTGAGTCTTTTCATGAGAGATAATGGAAAAATGCAACATCCCTCAAATTTGTTGAAAAATAAATCCATAAAACCGTAAAAGAAATGATAGGTTCTGAAAATTGAAGAGTTCATAATATGCTGCTGACTGTTTCAAGCTTATAAACAAATAAACATTATTTCAATGCATTAACATTGATTAAAATAAGCTCAAAAGTGGTTTTGATGGTTGCCTGCAAACAAACTTGATCACAAAAATGATTCTATCTGTATAAAAACACTAAGTTTAATTTCATTATAAAATCATCAGCATTTCACCAGCTGCCATATTTATCATGTGAAAAATTATTTCAAGAAATTTGCTAAATTAATTTGCTAAATTATCTTGAAAGAATAAAGTGTGAATAAGAAACGATGATTTATAAAAACAAATACTGTGCACAAAAATACATAAAATAGTTAATGATAACAAACAACAAACGACTTCTTATTTTTCTATCACCCCACCAAGAGCTTTTCAATGCTCACGTAGGCTTTAAACATCAAATAACCATTTAATGTATTATATAAAATGTTATCTATACAGATTTAAAATGCCAGACAATTTATACACAAAGTCTACTTCAACAAAAGGATTTACGTTACATATAACACTGAAGTCCATCTGTTTTACTAATCCCAATCCTCACAAACTAATAATCTGTAAAACCGATTATTGACGCAGCAACATGTTAATGTCGAAAAATGTCAGATTTGCATTAGGTAAATTCCAAGGGATCATTAAAATGATGCATATTACTTTTAAAGCACCAATTACGCAGGAAATGTAACAAAGTGGCGCAAATGCATTTAAAATCCCATAAGGGAGATAAAACGATGTGTAAATTTGAAGTTCCAAGTTATAAAATTCTTTTATTTCATTGTAAATTTATTTTATGCTGCAATTTTATCTTGATTTTAAATTTACGTTAATGTAATTGTAAATGTTTTTAACAGTCTAATATGTGCGTAAAGACCACCTTTTTGAAAATTAAGGATGTAGATATTTTACATATTCTTGTTTGTGCATATTATTGTTTGTTTCCAATTTATACCAAATTAGAAAGTCTAAAACAGCACTACCCTCCAAACAAACATTTTCATATGTTGGAGAGATATTTGCATAAATACTATTTGCATCAATACAAAGAAAATAAAAAGAACTTAACATATACGTTCATAGCTAATAAAATTACATTGCAACAAAATGAAAAGGGACTCCACTGAGGTCTGACGTGAAACGTTTTTCGATATTTATGTTTCATTTAATGTCGGTTCGGACCAGTAACCTTTGAGCGCAATTTCAGATCATTCGCCCATACATTTTTTTACAGAATAAATCGTGCAAAATTACCCTAACACGAAAAACGTTAAAATGTTCTCTGTATATGTCTTATTATATTTGTCATATTTTTCTGTTTTAAGTTGAGCCCCAGTTGATCTTTTCATGTCCTTATAATATATGTTGTATGGTCGTTCAGTCCTAAATTGCAGTTGTGGTAGTGTTTTTTGGTTCTTTCGTTCGTAGGTAGTTCCAAAATTTAGGGTAGTTGCATGCCTTTTAAATTTGTGATTTGACGGCTTCCCTGTGACATGCTTCACAACTTCTGATCCCCTTTGAAAATTAAATAGTAATATTTAGTTTCGCCCATTTATCTCATGTAGGGCATATGCCATATTTCATTTTGAGATCATACTAAGGTTGTCATTGAATAACAGGAACTTGTAACATTGAAGATTCCATAATTACCATCGTATAAACATATATGCAGATGTTTCTAAATTCAAAATTTAACCATTTCAAATTTGAATTCTGTTTAAGCCGGTGTTAAGGGGCGTGGACGGTAGCATGTATTTACCACTACTGTCAATGGACAGGCTCAATCAAACCGAGCCTATAACATTTTCAATTTTGCCATTTAGGGCGTTGTTTAGGGACTCCCTTCTTTTTAAGACCTCAGTGGAGTTCGTTTCAAACATAATGATTTTCTTTATCATAAAAGTGGTCTTTAGTGCACGTTTGACTGTATTACGGCATTGAACACGAGAATAATAATGGTAATTGTTATACAGATCAAACACACAAACATAAATTGTAATTACAAGATGTCAAACAGATGGACTTGCAGTCAGTGATATTACTTATCAAATTACGAAGAGATTACATGGGACCATTCATTTTTTTAGAGGTTTCCATTCTGTTTTTAATTCACAGCTCCCAGTACTTGTAAAAAATAAAAATTATATTGACATAATTTTCATGTCTACAAAAACGATTCGATCTCATTTTCTATGTGATAGAAAGCCAAATCATGGCTTCTGTTTTTGCCATTATCAATGTTTACCTAAAATTTGAATAAGGATTTTACTTCTTGTTAATGTTATGCATCGTAAGTATGGCATCAAAGCAACTGGTTAAAGCTGTTATACCGAAGACTTTATCAAAGTAAACCAACATCAATACTTGATTATATATAAGCGAAATTTTATTTTCATTTTTTACTTTAGAATGTAGAGAAACGAAATAAGAGGGACCAAAATAACTTATGTTGAGGAAACATTTAAGAGACAGGATATTACCAACTGTAAATGACCCATGCTATCACTGTCTGGAAACAAATCAATCATTATGTGTATATAGAAAAATTAGACATAAAAAACCTAGTTGAACAAGACTTACGTATTTGATATTTTATGTTATTAAATAAGAGTTAATAATGACTTCAGGCCTCCTCATGCAGCAAAGAATCAGAATGGAAACCTCCGGCTTTTATATTATGGAAAAGTGATAACATATGGGTTAAACATCCATGTATCAAAATTGTGAAAATTTAAAAATTTATATTTTAAAAAGAGTGCATTACAATATATAATATAAAAATTTGTGTAAAGACAATAATAGTAATACTTTACCCGTAAGTTAAATGATTCAAATTAAAAATATCAATATAAAATCTGTCAATAATTTCTTGCAAAATTAAGGTTAATTTCAAAAGAACTTGAAGAAAAATGGAAGATTCTAATCCTGGCATATCAACCTTCAAATGGCAATAATGCTTGACAAGGATTAACGAGGTCAATAGAGAATAGGCCAAATTTCCGCAGTTAAGCAAAAGCAGGAGCAGAAAGCAAAACATATTTTATCATTTAAATATATAGTTTCATATCTGCTCGTTGATAAGTTTTCTTCTTTGAAGAATCAATCCTCTGCATAAATAAGTTTATGATTAAAAACCAGGCGTTGAAAACTCATACCGAGATTTACAAAGGAGGAAGAATAAAACATAGACCATTTCCCAGACATTATAAGCCCGGTATAATTCTAAGAAGGATATAATTATACCATGCTGTCTTTATGTGTTAAACTTCATACAATTTCTATTATTACAGGAGAAGATGCATGAAAAATAAAGAAAGAGTATGATCCAAAGTGGACAAAAGAAATATCTATTCTATGATGAAACCTAAATTTTATAAAAATTTAAGAATAAATCAACGGGATTAATCTTTTATCCTGTAGATCATATACAATGCATGATAGCCCGAAGCAGATATTTCTATATAAAGGTCAAGCCCCTGTATCATTACAGATTAATGTGATTATGCAAGAAATAAAATAGGACATATGCTACTAATACATGTAAATGTGTATGTTGTTCACATTGTAAATGAAGATATTTACTAGGTATGTTTATATAAGAGTTGATACATGAACATGTTGCTTAGCAGCTTACTTACCCTAACACCATTTACAAGCTGTGAATATAAATTTGCATACAGATCACTAAGATGTTGCAAAAAAAGGGAAAAGGGGAGTAAATATAGAAGCCAGAAAAAGCACAAGAGATTCTGAAGCAGATTCAAGACTAGGATTGGACAAGATATGGAATGACTTATCAATACATAAAATGCAAGACAAAAACAGGTGAGTTTATAACGTAGGTTGTGGCTATGGTCTAATCTTACATGTATCCAATAAGGACCAAGACTCGCCACACTGGGCCGTCTGCTTGGGCTTCCATCATACTCCTCGCCCCACCCAAGAGGCAGAATTCCTAAACTGTGTGTACTCGGTTTACGAGGCTTCTCCGTTCCTTCTCCAAATGAGGCTATAGGCAATATGCCTACACTGTGTGTGCTTGGTCTGCGTATTCTTTCGGAGGATCGGCGGGTATCGCTAGAAAACAACGAACTCCGTCGAGAATCACCAAACAAACTTACTGAAAATGAGAAAGGGCCGAGACTTTGTGCACTTGATCTCCTCTTCTTGTCTACAGTATCTTCAGATGTTAAACTTATAACTGGTGGTGATGAAGTCTGGGGCGGGGCTAAACTGTGTCTTCTTTGTATTTCAGCAGGATGGGGTGGGCTTAAAGCTTGCTCATCCTGCAAATATAGAATAAACAATTCTTGAATACTTGATGATATATTCAATACCGAAAGTTCAAAAAAGTTATAACATACATTAATTCCTGAAATACCACATTATCAATGTTCAAATATGTAATCTGACAAAAACAACGGTCATACACATGTAACATACACAATCATATGGTAGGCAATTGTACTGGACAGTAAACTCAATTTTAAATGTTTGAATGTACAAATTGCAATGCTGTTTGATGATGTCCAGGATACACATCAACCAACAAAACCAGACAGACATGACCATTAGCAAGGGACCAACCAGAGCATTGAACAAAAACAGATGAGGACACATTGGTGAATCACGGACACGGAACCACCACAAACAACTATCTAACTATTTCGCCTGAAATGTAATCAATATATAACCAGATATGTCTATTTAATGTAAAATCAACTACTAAGGTTTCATTTCAGAACTTTAACGTTTTCCCAGGAAATTCAATATATTCACCTACTGATAACATTTAGTATTTCACAGAAAATATTTCATTTAACACCTTGTATAGGATTATTGCCACATATATATAAGAGAAATGAACAGTTCCGTAGTAAGCTTTTAAATACTAAAATATATACGAAAACATTACAACTACGTCAATACCATTCAGTTAAGTACAGACAATGTAATGATAACATTTTTTACAATGTGCAATTATAGTAATTGACACCATGTTGCATATCATAATGACTTTGTTATGTAATTTAACTAAAATATCTAAATCATTGTTTATAACTCATGTTGACTAGATGATGCAAGACACATAATAGGTGCTTAAAAGATGTGTACTACTTATTTAACCTATTACACATGTACATATGTATTGCTTATAACAACATGCCATCGTCGGCCACACCAAACCATTGACATTTATCAGATAACATGGGCATCAGACGATGAAGACATGCATTTTTTATAGCAACTATATTCCTTTAAATATGCGTATAACTTCCATGTATTGCCTATAATACTTGTGTTGGCTTTAAAGCCTTTCTTACTTATATGTATTGCGTAAACTACTTGTGTTCACTACAAAATGTGTATAACTTATATGTGTTAATTATAATTGCCTAAACAACTTTTGTCTGCTAAAAAGTGTGTATTACTTATATGACAACAGCGTCTACGTAAGCTTTTTAGCAAGACTGAAGAATCTAATTCTACAGCAACATTGTTGAAAATGTATCGAAAAGAAAAACTTCTAAACAATAGGAAACTTACCCAGACATAATACTTTTTTAATTCACAACATTTCTTTTATTGAATACTTAATTGAATACTAATAATAATACTTATGTGCACAAAGAAAACTTACCAAAGATCCACCAGATGCATTATGGGTAATTGATTTGGGTTTTGGAGCTGACAATTTAGGGTGAGACTCAGGTGTGGCAGGAACTGAAACAAAAAGTTTCAAATTTCAATAAACAATAGTAGAAAATTCAAATTAGATAAAACAAAAAAAATATAAATAGATTCAAGAAAACTACAAAATTAAAAGTAAATTCAAGAAAACAGGTGACTACATTATTATGCTTATAAAAAAACATTATTCACTTTTTCTATAATATCTAAACATTTAGATTTTGCAAAAGAGGAAACTAGACAAGCATTGTTATGTTACTAAGCTACAGTTAAAAAATTACTGATTATTAACTGACTTACATTCAATTTTCTTATTATTTATCCCCAAAATTGATGATAGACAATTCAAAATATGGTAGCAGGTTATGTTTCGTGTAAGGAAAACATGCAGGTTACGGAATAAGTGATACTGACAAAAGTTGACAACAGCATAATATGCTCAGCAATAAAACAAGGGCACTGTAAGATTTTGTAAACTCCATAAAGCTTCTAATCAAACAGTAAAAAGGGATCCAACATGGCCAAACTAAAAACGGTTGCAGGCATAGAGACAATGTTGGGTATAATTCAATGAAAATCCATTATAGAGATATGGTCCTTGGATAGTAACCTATGCTTATGATCTGAAACACATGTGTGATGACAATTCAAGAGTATACAGTAACATACTATATAAAATTGCACAAAAAAACCTGAACTGTTACTGATGCAAAGGGTAAATAGGACACGCCCAATATTCTTCAAAAAGGTTAAACTTGAAATCGACGTATCCCTTAAAAACAAGTATACATACAAAAGTAAACCAACTGAAACAACTGAACGATTCACTACAAACATAAAGTACATGTTTACCTTTTCTAATGGTTATTTTTACAGGCTGATGTTCTATACTACTCGTCTTGTTACTTTCCAAAATAGGAAGTGAGGAAAAGGAGTATTCTAGTAGAACAAAACAAAGTCATATATACCTCGTACATCAGTGTTCATTAGAATATTACTGCAATGACATCTTATAGAAAGGATATGTAAATGTGAATAATTTCCTTTACCTTAAAACTGTGTAGGAAGTAATACTTATATTGATTAATACCATTACGAAAATCCTTTTAAAAGTTGTCCTTTATGACTAAGAATAGAATGTCTGAATGGAAGACTGCTTTGAGCACTCTTCTTGTCCTTTTTCATAGAATGATCAAATTTCCCATAAAACAAGCTTTCTCTATATATATTTATGTTATTTTCTTACCATTGGTTAATTTCAGATGACATAAGCAGAATCTATATGTCTTGAAATTTGAATGGGCTTTCATTAACGGTTTCAAGTAGTCGACCAAAAACAGGAATACTACAAAAAGTTATTCTTAATCATTTATTTAGCTGGTTCTAAATGGGAAAACAATTCTATCATTTATCATTATCCTTTCTATTTCAGTCATTGGCTTTCTAGAGAAGTGTTAGTAAACATACTATGTGTTAGTCAAGCTATATAATCTAATTATACTTGTGTTAGTAAATTACAAAATCTATACTGCTTGTTTGTGAAATTTCAGTTTATGAGAATATATCTAAATGTGAAAAAAAAAAGGATTTGCCTAATGAGTTTTTGGAATGTCCTTAACAGTCCATTAAAAGATTTTGAGATTTCAGAAATAAAATGTATAGTAATTGTTGAGTTGCATGCAGAAGAATTTTATTGATAATGGGATAGTGGTTGTTCCAGACTTCGAATGTTGGTGCTGGTTTTAATTATCAGAGACCGGTTTAAAATGTTTAGATAATTGTTTTGATTTCAATAAATCATGCCAACTGTCCAGCGCAGTTTATTTTAGTGCGCTCTGGTCCTGCCAAGACTAAGCGTTCCCTAGTAATTAATGATCCCCATATTTAGAAAATCAAATTTTACTTTTATTTTCTTAGAGGGTGCTTCCTGCATTTTGGTTGGTCAAAACTGTCCCTAGAAATAATAATTATATGCAAATGCAAGATTTGCCGCCTTTCCAAGGCGCAGTTGAAAATAAGATTTCGGAATGTGAAGTACAAATCTTGTGAATTTTTATTTATTAAGTTTCGGGCACAGATACCATTGTTCAGTAAGTTTATTTTTGTTTTATTTGCCTTCGTTCGGGAAAATTATTGTTTAAATAATTTTTGTTCTAAAATAATTACATTTATTATTGTTAAGGTAAATACATTAACAATTTTATGTTAAGATGGATGAAACTGTATCCTAGTTAAAATTTTGATGTAAAAGTAAATAATCTGTAATTCTATCAATTAATAAATTTGTTAACATTACTAGCAGCAGGATTCCCACAGTATTTGTTAAGGATGAATTATATATGTGACTTGTTTATTTGTAAGTATGTATGCATTCTTTGTATGTTGTTTTAATTGTTATTAATGGAAGTATAACTGTTTAACTTTCAGATAACCGCTATATACGCTATATACGCTATCTACGCTATATACGCTATATACGCTATATACGTTAGATACACTATATACTCCTTAGACTATGTGTTGTTTCTGGAATAAAAGTGGAAAATATAGCGCGTGAATTGCATCTTTTTGTTGCCCAAACTTAGTGAAGCTGCCCATTACGACTGTGTCGTAGTGTCTTTGTAATTTGGTGAACAGTTGAAGTGAACACCCGTATTAACGTGTTCTCTCTCAGCCACCCACGTAATCTACACTGTGTTCTTACAGTTATTGAACAGTATAGTTCCTACAGTTGTTGAACACCGTGTTATCCTACAGTTATTGAACATAATCTATTAACGAAAAGGTGAAAGTTAATTGGATTAAACCGTATTTATTTGGATTATATTCGTAAACATATATTCCGTATCATCTAAAGATGGCAAGTAATGTAACCAGCAACGAAGCTGAAGCGAATATGAAGAAGATTCAAGAGGGCACGAGTTGTGCAAATTCCGTTGTAACATGTAGCTCGACAGCCTCACGCAAGCGGAGGGCAGAACTGTGCCTCCGTCAGCTGAAAGAAAAACAAGAAACAGAGCGCAGAAGCGAGGAGGCTCGCCGGGAGCTCGAACTGCAGTCGGCCCGGCACGAGCTAGAACTTGCTGAGATTGAAGAAGAAGATTCCGATGACAGAGGAGTGCTATCCTTACCAGACGAGCCAGCAACCGATGTTCAAGTAGAAAATTACGTGAAGGACTTACCTGACAATGCAATTAGTGAAAATCTTTGTGATAATATACCATCAAGACAAATTTATTCTCAAAACGTTTATGGTTTACCTAAACCGGAGTTGATTAAATTTAGTGGGAATCCTGCTGATTATTGTAAATTCATCAGCAATTTCGAAACCAATATCGAGGCAAGGGTAAGTGACAATAGATTAAAATTAAATTATTTAATTCAATTGTGTCAGGGTGAAGCAAAATATTGTATCGAAGATTGTGTAATTTTGTCTCCGGACGAAGGCTATTTAAGGGCTAAAGAAATCCTTAAATCTAGGTACGGTAAACCACATTTAGTGGCCCGGTCCCATGTGGATAATTTAGTAAATGGCAGTGCCATAAAAAGTAATGACGTAAAGGGTCTAATGAACCTGTCACTCCATATGGAGAAATGTCATATGACCTTGACACAGCTAGGTTTTATGTCCGATGTGAATAATACGGAAAACCTACGCAAAATAGTTAGGAGACTTCCACTTCACATTCGGTCCCAGTGGGTCGAACGTGCAAGTAGCCTGATAGAGCAGGGGCTCGAACCAAGTTTTAACCATCTTCTAACCTTTGTGAGGGAACGGTCAATTGTAGCCAATACAATGTATGGTTATGACCTTGCGAATGAGTCAAAACAAACAGTGAATTCGCAAAGAAATTCCCACATAAACCCTCCTCAGCGTAATAAAGTAGTTACACTGTCCACTGGCTCTGATAAGAGAAATTCAGGTAAATCTCCCTTAGAGAAATCCGCTAGGGGACGATTATCATGTATTTATTGTAAAAAGGCCCATAAATTAAGGGCATGCGCAGAGTTTCGCTCCATTGATATTGATTCAAAGCTGAGAGTTATCAGAGAGCATGAAATGTGTGAAAACTGTTTGTATTTCAAACATGTTGCCGAAAATTGTAGGCAAAATAGTTTTTGTGAGGTTTCAGGTTGTACCGGGAAACATAATACAATGTTTCACCGAGATTCTAGTAAAATCAACAAATTTACAAATGTTGAGGATAAATATGTTGCGGCTTCCGAATCGAGGTGTAAACAAAACAAGGTAAGTTTACGCATAGTTCCTGTCGTCGTCGGAACGAAAACTATGCAAGTAGAAACGTATGCTCTCCTTGATGAAGGGAGCGATGTAACGCTTTGTAGCGATAGCCTTGTAAAAAGGCTTGGGGTTGAAAGTAAACCTTGTAAGTTCACGTTAACTACAGTGAACAAGTCTGGTCAAAATATAAATGGCAAAGAAGTTAAACTACAGGTAAGTGCATTAAATGGGGGTCAGGTCATTGACCTTCAAAAGGTATGGTCTGTAAAAACCCTGCCTATATCCTTGCAGTCGTTGCCAGACCAGTCTGTGACAGGTAAGTGGAAACACCTTAATGGTATCAATTTACCGAAAATTGATGTAAACAAAGTTGAGTTGCTTGTGGGAAGCGACACCCCAGACGCATTCTGGGTAGAAGAGCAGCGAAGGGGGAATAAAGGTGAGCCCTATGCAATTAGGTCAATATTAGGCTGGAGTATTATAGGACCCACATGTAATGGATCGTCAAATGATCAAGGTAGTATCAATTTTCAGTTTGCTTCTAGTACACAGTTGCAAATCGATAAGTTATGGGCAACCGACTTCCCAGATGTCAAGAGCTGTGGCACAGGGATGTCACAGGAAGACCGTCGTGCACTTTCAGTAATGAAAGGTACAGTAGTAAAGGAAAACGGTCATTACAAATTGGGACTCCCGTGGAGAAACCCAGACGTAAGTCTTCCAAATAACGTGAAGATGGCTACGGTAAGACTATCTCATTTGAAGCGAAAACTTCAAAGAGATAATAAGTTATTTGATATGTATAAAGAAACGGTGAATGGGTATATTGATAAGGGTTATGCTTCCTTATTAGATACCAGAACGGGATTCGAACCCGGACGTATTTGGTATCTACCTCATCATCCAGTTGTGAACCCAAAGAAGCCGGGTAAGGTAAGAGTTGTCTTTGACTGTGCTGCTAAGTATCGAGGCACATCATTGAATGACAATCTGTTACAAGGTCCCGACCTAACTAACAGTATTACTGGCGTACTTATGCGATTCCGGCAGGCCCCAGTAGCATTGGTTGCGGACATAGAAGCCATGTTCCACCAGGTAAGAGTATGTGAGCATGATAGGGATTCTTTAAGATTCCTTTGGTGGCCTCAAGGTAACTTGAACGAGGAACCAAAGGAGTATCGTATGAACGTCCACTTGTTTGGTGCAACTTCGTCACCAAGTTGTGCGGCTTTCTGTTTAAAGCGCACGGCAAATGAAAATACTGATAAATTCAGTCAAGAAGCGGTAAGTACGGTTGAACGTAATTTCTACGTTGATGACCTTCTTAAGTCAGTATTAGACTCAAGTTCGGGAATTAGACTTGCCGCAGAAATGAAAGAACTTCTTTCTTTAGGGGGCTTCAGACTGACAAAGTGGCTCTCTAATTGTGAATATGTCATGAATTCGATCCCGGAAGCGGATCGAGCTCAGTTAAAGGAAAAAATAGACCTTGACAACGAATCGTCATGTGAGCGAACACTTGGGTTACAGTGGCATGTTAAGTATGACCATTTTGTGTTTGATGTAAATCTCCGTGACAAAGGTACGACAAGACGTAATATCTTGTCGGTTGCCAGTTCATTGTATGATCCGCTTGGGCTTGTTGCACCAGTGACGTTAACACCAAAATTGATTCTACAACGTGCTTGTAGAACAAACCTAGGCTGGGACGAACAAATTCCAGATGCGGATGCTGAAAAATGGTTGCAGTGGCTAGCCAGCCTACCAGCACTATCGAAGGTAAGTATAGATAGATGTATAATACCAGGTGAGCTCGACAGGTCAACCTTGAAAGCTGAACTACATATGTTTAGTGATTCATCTGAGTATGCCTATGGATCGAGCGTGTACTTAAAAGTGTATGACGCGAAGGGGCACAGTAAGTGCAGTCTAGTTATAGGTAAGTCTAGGTTAGCACCTATAAAGGCTATTTCGATACCAAGACTCGAACTTGCAGCAGCTGTAGTTGCTGTAAAACTGTATCAGATTGTCATAGAGGAGCTTGATGTCAAAATTACTGAAAGGTACTTTTGGACGGACTCTATGATTGTGTTAGGTTACATAAGAAATGAAACGAAAAGGTTTAAGACTTTCGTTGCAAATAGACTATCAATAATTCATGAGGTGACGTCACCACATGACTGGAGGCATGTACCCTCAAAGAGTAACCCTGCTGACATTGCGTCAAGGGGAGTTAATCCGCAAGAAACTGAAAAGCTTGACATATGGTTGAATGGCCCCGAATTCCTTAAAAGGAATGAATCAGGGTGGCCAGCGCAGGTAAGTAATGCAACCGTAAATGAGGATGACATAGAGCTCAAACCTCAGGCTAGTGTACTAAACACTCATGGTAAGTATAATTTGAGTATGAATACGTTACTTAGTAAGTTCTCCGACTGGCATAAACTTCAAAATGCAGTCGCTTGGCTACTACGTTTTAAGTGTTTCTTAATTGAGAAATACTTACCCCAAAGACGAAGTCTTTACAGTAAGGTAAGTAGTAAACCCCTTAGTGTGGGGGAAATTAAAATGGCACAAACAGCCATCTTTAAATTAGTTCAAACGGAGGCGTTTGAAAATGAAATAAGTGAATTAAAGGCTCAGAGGCCAGTTCCGAGTTCGAGCCCTCTGAAAAGGCTATGTCCTATATTGAAGGATAATGTAATGCGAGTCGGCGGACGACTAGCAATGTCCGACCTACACGTAGATGCTAAGCATCAAATTATCTTGCCGAGTAGCCATCACGTGACAAGAATCCTGATACAAAACTGTCATGAACAGAATGCGCACATGGGCCCAGTACATATTCTGGCCATGTTGCGACAAAAGTATTGGATAATCCATGGTCTGCAAACAGTTAAGTCTGTTATCGGTAGGTGCATAACGTGCAAACGACAGTTACAACGACCGGAATTGCAACAGATGTGCGATCTTCCAGAAGAAAGACTCACACCCGATAAGGCACCGTTTACGTATGTCGGTGTCGATTATTTTGGCCCGATGACTGTGAAGTCTGGAAGACGACATCTGAAAAGATACGGCTGTATATTTACGTGCTTGACCACCAGAGCAGTGCACATTGAAATTGCTCATAGCTTAGATACGGACTCTTTCATCTGTGCACTGCAAAGGTTTGTAAGTCGTAGAGGCCGTCCCGAAAAAATATTCAGTGACAATGGGAAAAATTTTGTATCAGGAGATAGAGTTTTGCGTGATAGCATTCGGCAATTTAATCAAAGTCGACTCGCAAAATTATGTCAACAGCAAGAAATGAAATGGCATTTTAATCCTCCATATGCAAGTCATATGGGCGGTATTTGGGAACGGTTAGTACGGTCCACAAAAAGGGCTATAAAATCAGTCATTGGAGAACAACTTCTCAACGATGAGGCTCTGTTAACTTTAGTTACAGAGATAGAAAAGATTCTCAATGATAGACCGATTACCCAGGTAAGTAGTGATCAAAGGGATCCAGAACCCTTATCCCCAAATAAACTTTTGATTATGAGACCAAATGCTTCATTCCCACCAGGTTTATTTGATAAGCGAGATGTTTATTGTAAACGCTGGTGGCGACAGGTACAGTATCTAGCGAATGTTTTCTGGAAAAGGTGGGTTCGAGAATATCTGCCGACCTTACAGGTAAGACAAAAATGGCATAACATTCAAAGGAATGTGTCCGTAAATGACCTCGTTCTCGTCTGCGACGAGCAATTATCTCGGGGCAAATGGCCATTAGGCCTCGTTCTGGAAGTAAACAAAGGTAGAGACGGACTTGTAAGGTCATGTAAGGTCAAGGTAAATGGGTCCGTGAAAGTACGGCCGATTACGATGTTATGTGTATTGGAACAGGAAATCGTTCATGCTAACTGATAACAATAGTCAGCAGTGAATTAACGTTTAATGAGCGACTTTGTTTGCCTCGCTATTAAGACGTTACGATATTTAAAAAAGTGTATATATGTGTAACATAATCTAGATTAGTAAAAAATTCTAGAACTTGTGAATGTTTTGATTATTACAAAACGAGTATTAAATTCTTCGTCTTCCCTTAATATATAAGAATGAACTTATATAAAAAAGTTCATTGAGGGCCGGTGTTCCAGACTCCGAATGTTGGTGCTGGTTTTAATTATCAGAGACCGGTTTAAAATGTTTAGATAATTGTTTTGATTTCAAAAAATCATGCCAACTGTCCAGCGCAGTGTTATTTTAGTGCGCTCTGGTCCTGCCAAGACTAAGCGTTCCCTAGTAATTAATGATCCCCATATTTAGAAAATCAAATTTTACTTTTATTTTCTTAGAGGGTGCTTCCTGCATTTTGGTTGGTCAAAACTGTCCCTAGAAATAATAATTATATGCAAATGCAAGATTTGCCGCCTTTCCAAGGCGCAGTTGAAAATAAGATTTCGGGATGTGAAGTACAAATCTTGTGAATTTTTATTTATTAAGTTTCGGGCACAGATACCATTGTTCAGTAAGTTTATTTTTGTTTTTTATTTGCCTTCGTTCGGGAAAATTATTGTTTACATAATTTTTGTTCTAAAATAATTACATTTATTATTGTTAAGGTAAATACATTAACAATTTTATGTTAAGATAGATAAAACTGTATCCTAGTTAAAGTTTTGATGTAAAAGTAAATAATCTGTAATTCTATCAATTAATAAATTTGTTAACATTACTAGCAGCAGGATTCCCACAGTATTTGTTAAGGATGAATTATATATGTGACTTGTTTATTTGTAAGTATGTATGCATTCTTTGTATGTTGTTTAATTGTTATTAATGGAAGTATAACTGTTTAACTTTCAGATAACCGCTATCAACGCTATATACGCTGTATACGCTATATACGCTATATACGTTAGATACACTATATACTCCTTAGACTATGTGTTGTTTCTGGAATAAAAGTGGAAAATATAGCGCGTGAATTGCATCTTTTTGTTGCCCAAACTTAGTGAAGCCGCCCATTACGACTGTGTCGTAGTGTCTTTGTAATTTGGTGAACAGTCGAAGTGAACACCCGTATTAACGTGTTCTCTCTCAGCCACCCACGTAACCTACACTGTGTTCTTACAGTTATTGAACAGTATAGTTCCTACAGTTATTGAACACCGTGTTCCCCTACAGTGGTTGCTTAGACCAGTTAATTATAATTGCCACAGATGCGTGAAAAAGGTCACTTACAATTTATCCAGGTATGCCATAAAACATACTTTAAAGCTACATTAAATAAATATGCAATAATATTTTTGCCGTCGGCCTAAAAACCAAGCATTCTACAGTTTCATTTACCTTTTTAACAGAAACGTTATAAATCTCATCTAATATTGTTCATAGATTAGGATTAGGATTTTAAATGGAAAACCTCACGGTAACACTAAAGTAATTTCACACCATGTTTATGGCAATCACCGAAGATTACGAAAAGAGATCACATAAATTATGCAAAAGTAGCCATTGCTGTGATAGTAACACAGTAGCTATCTGGTGATAAATAATGCACTTCGATATATCAATCGCGCATAAAAGTCATATGGATCAGTATCTTAATCTTGATTTCTTTTTCTATTCTTCTTTTGATTGGAATATTTTCTTTTTTTTTTTTAATATTTCACTCATCCGGGGCCATGCAACAACTTGAAAGACTCTTAAGACATAAACGGGTAAATTAGGAGTTAAATGATATAGAGTTGTGTATAAAAATAAGACATTGATAAGTTTACTTTGGTTTGTTAGTTGTTTGCTTTAACTTTTTTGTGTCAGAATAAAGAAAAAAAAACATTTTGTTTACTATATTTTATAGAAATACACGTAATTGTGCATGTATTTGTACAGTTTATTTTTCAGTTCATCTGAAATATAGTGTTCTTTTAGATTTCTTAGCGGTGTAGACAATTGAACTTTGAGATCAATAACTCTTCCTTGATATACACTGAACACTGACCATTATGCCATTCTTTCATTGTTGTTTTCATTCTACTCCGTGAGATATTTTCTTCACATTTAATTCGGACACTTGTTCTGTCTCTGCTAAATAAAAAACAAACTATTGATTGTTTGACTGAGATTAAGTGACTATTGATTGTTTGACTGCGATTAAGTGACTATTGATTGTTTGACTGAGATTAAGTGACTATTGATTGTTTGACTGAGATTAAGTGACTATTGATTGTTTGACTGAGATTAAGTGACTATTGATTGTTTGACTGAGATTAAGTGACTATTGATTGTTTGACTGAGATTAAGTGACTATTGATTGTTTGACTGAGATTAAGTGACTATTGATTGTTTGACTGAGATTAAGTGACTATTGATTGTTTGACTGAGATTAAGTGACTATTGATTGTTTGACAGAGATTAAATGAATATTGATTGTTTGACAGAGATTAAGTGACTATTGATTGTTTGACTAAGATTAAGTGACTATTGGTTGTTTGACTGAGATTAAGTGACTATTGATTGTTTGACTGAGATTAAATGACTATTGATTGTTTGACTGAGATTAAGTGACTATTGATTGTTTGACTGAGATTAAGTGACTATTGATTGTTTGACTGAGATTAAATGACTATTGATTGTTTGACTGAGATTAAGTGACTATTGATTGTTTGACTGAGATTAAGTGACTATTGATTGTTTGACTGAGATTAAGTGACTATTGATTGTTTGACAGAGATTAAATGAATATTGATTGTTTGACTGAGATTAAGTGACTATTGATTGTTTGACTGAGATTAAGTGACTATTGATTGTTTGACTGAGATTAAGTGACTATTGATTGTTTGACTGAGATTAAGTGACTATTGATTGTTTGACTGAGATTAAGTGACTATTGATTGTTTGACTGAGAATTAAGTGACTATTGATTGTTTGACTGAGATTAAGTGACTATTGATTGTTTGACTGAGATTAAGTGACTATTGATTGTTTTACTGAGATTAAGTGACTATTGATTGTTTGACAGAGATTAAGTGAATATTGATTGTTTGACTAATATTAAGTGACTATTGATTGTTTTACTGAGATTAAGTGACTATTGATTGTTTGACTGAGATTAAGTGACTATTAAATGTTTGACTGAGATTAAGTGACTATTGATTGTTTGACTGAGATTAAGTGACTATTGATTGTTTGACAGAGATTAAATGAATATTGATTGTTTGACTGAGATTAAGTGACTATTGATTGTTTGACTGAGATTAAATGACTATTGATTGTTTGACTGAGATTAAGTGACTATTGATTGTTTAACTGAGATTAAATGACTATTGATTGTTTGACAGAGATTAAATGAATATTGATTGTTTGACTGAGATTAAGTGACTATTGATTGTTTGTCAGAGATTAAGTGACTATTGATTGTTTTACTGAAATTAAGTGACTATTGATTGTTTTACTGAGATTAAGTGACTATTGATTGTTTGACAGAGTTTATGTGACTTTAGATTGTTTGACTATTGATTGACTGAGATTAAATGACTATTGATTGTTTGACTGAGATTTTGTGACTATTGATTGTTTGACTGTGATTAAGTGACTATTGATTGTTTGACTGAGATTAAGTGACTATTGATTGTTTGACAAGAGTTTATGTGACTTTAGATTGTTTTGAACTATGATTGACTGAGATTAAATGACTATTGATTGTTTGACTGAGATTTGTGACTATTGATTGTTTGACTGAGATTAAGTGACTATTGAATTGTTTGACAGAGATTAAATGAATATTGATTGTTTGACTGAGATTAAGTGACATTGTTTGAAACCCGGAAACATTTTGTTTTTGCTAGTTTAAGGACTTTTTGATTTTTAAAACTGAATAGGAAAAAATAGGGTTTTGACGAGTTTAATTGCTATGATTTTTTGACTAATTAATGACTATTTTTGTTTGACTAAATTTAAGTGACTTTTTGATGTTTTACTGAGATTAAATACAATTGATTGTTGACTGAGTTTAAAGTGCCCTTTTAATTGTTTAAACTAAATTTAAGCGACTTTTTATTTTTCCCTTGAGATAAGTACCTTTTGTTTTTTGACTAAATTTAATGAATATTGTTTGTTTGATGAGATTAAGACAAATTGATTTTTTGACAAGTTTTAAAGGGACAAAGGTTTTTGACTGAGTTAAGTGACTTTTGATTAAATTGGGAACTGAGATTAAGGACTTTTTATTTTTTTGACTGAGTTTAATGACTATGTTTGTTTGGACTTATATTTATGGGCGTTGGGTTAATATGCTCAAATACATGATTAATAAGTGTGATTAAAACTATGTGTATGATTCCATATAAATTATAATAACAACCATTACTTCTTATCAAATCAAAATTAAAATTAAAATATCTTTATTCACCCACTGGTATAAAATAAATACATAAAGGGGGTTTACAAAATAATATTTTTACCCCAATACAAGTGGAACCTGTCTTAATCAAAAACTCGTCCGGGACAGAAGAAAAGTTCGGAAATTCAGAAAGGTTTCCGGATTAGAAAGGGTTTCCCAATTTAGAAGGTTCTTTTACATGTTTTTCATGTTACATGTATTTTGCAAAATAGTTTAGGGAAAGAAAACGGGAATGCATTTGAAATTGCAATTCAAATATTTATTTTTTTGCAGTCCTCTTATCGTTCAA